TATACAAATGGAAATGAAAAAAGGCTGGGGTAGCAATACTTATATTAGACAAAATAGCCTTTAAAACAAAAGCTATAACAAAAGACAAAGAAAGACATTTTATATACAATAGCCAAGGTAAGGAAGCATATTAAATGTCCATCAATAAACGAATGGATAAAGAAGATGTGGTAATATATGAGATGGATATATTACTTGGTCATAAAAAGGAATGAAAGCTTACCATTTGCAACAACATGGATAGACCTAGAGGATATTATGTGAAATTAAATAAGGCAGACACAGAAAGACCTATGATTTCACTTATATGTGGAACTTGAAAAACAAAATAAATGAACAAAAAAACTCATAGAGAACAAATTGATGGTTTTCAGATAGAAGGGGGAGTAGGGAAATGGGTGAAAGGCGGATGGTATTAAGAAGTACAAATTAGCAGTTACAAAATAGTCACAGAGATATAAAGTACAGCATAGAAAATATATAGTCAATAATATTGTAATAACTATGTATGATATCAGAGGGGTTCTAGACTTATCAGGGGGATCACTTTGTAAGTGATATAAATGCCTAACTGCTATACTGTATACCTGAAACTTAAATAATATTGAATATCCACTTCATTGGAAGATAAAAACCAAAAACAATATGTAATTGAAAATTAAAAAAATTTAAAGTCCTAAAATGCTGAATATAAGAGCTCAGAGAAATAATGTGAAGCTGGAAAAGATTCTTTAGCATCTTGACTTTCCCTTTAGAAGATCCTCCACTTATTCACAGCCCTTCTTCTTCTCCAGCACCCTCCCCCTTCCCACTCCAGATTCACCTTCCCCCCTCTTTCCCCCGCAGCTTACCAAGATGGAAGTCTCTATCTTCCTCTAAGCTATAGTTTTACAGAGGTGCAGGCAGGAGATCAAAACTGAGACCTAGGTAAGAAAACAGACTTGCTCATGACCACACAGCAAAAAGCCTGGAAATGAACTCAGATCTGAGGCTGAAGTCCAAGCATGAGGGAAATAAGGAACGTGCCACAGTTTCCACCTCCTCCATCATTTTGTCCCAAGTTTGTCCAGACAGTTTAACAGTGAGAAAACAAAACACACTGCCCAGCCAGCTAAACACAAACTAGCATGGACCTGTCATGAATCTGGGTGAACCTTGTGGCCACAGAACATCCAAGGATGCAGCCAGGGTCTTGTTTGCCCCACAGGAGTGCAGGGTGGTACCTAGGCTGAAATGAAAGGATGCAAAGGGACAAAACCAAGTTTATGCAGAAAGAAGATGGGTGGGCCCAGCTTGGTTAGAGGTTTTTCACACAGAAAGGCCTATGCTTGTTAAAAGATACTCAGAAAAGTAGGTAAGTAAATGTTAGCACAAATATCTTATCTAGTGTTTAGCACATAGTAGGTACACACACAATCAATGTTTGTTAAAGTGCAATGTAAGCCAGCAAGGTGATAGAGCTACAAAGCAAAGCTAACACAGCCTTAGGTCATAGTAATAGAAGCACAGAGCTGACAGTGAAGAAGGTGACCCACATCTCACTATCCCCATCCTGAGTTCAGTTCTGGGTCCTGCATAGACTAGGATCTGGACAAACAGAGAGAACCCAGAGGATGGCAGGGTACAGAGACCACACCCAACAGAAGTGGCTGGTGGAGCAGGGTGCTCAGTCTAGGGGTGAGCACTGCATGGACAGACCTAGTCATTATCCCCAAGTCTCTGCAGGACTCCCTCAGGACAGGGAAACAGGTGGGACTATGAGCCCAGAGGGAGGGGTGAGGACCTTGGGGAGTCACCAGGATGGGTGCCAGTTCACTGTACAAAAACATTTTCTTAAAACGACATCTATTTGGGGATGGTCATGAGCACCTACCATGAGAGATGACAAGCTGAGGGATGGCTGGGATTGGCTTAAATGATCTTAGCTCAGAACCTACAAATCTCTCAAATAATCTCCAAACTACAGGAGGAAATAATAGTTCATGTATTTCTACTCACCTTTTAACTTAAAATAGTTAATAGTATACAGTTGAATTCTGATGTGCCCCTTGGCCACGAGTCCCCAGGGGCCAGTGGGGAGCTCAACAGTATAGACGGGTCTGCTGTGGCCACATTTTCCATTTTCTACATTCAGCCCATTTTGACATATTGTGGTCTACTTGTGCTGGCTTGGGTATATTCAAAGATCAAACAATACAGCCTTAACTGAATCAGCCCCCATTACAAGTGGACAAGTGGCTTCAAAGAGTCCCTGTGAAGGAACCTTGAAGGGAGATAACTCTAATCTAGAAAGTACAAGCAAGCAGCAGGAAATGTGGGAGACAGACCTGCCCCCACCCCTAGTTCAAGACCTACATCAGTCATGTTACCAGGATGAAAGCTACAATGAATGGGATCTATCTCACACACCATTGTGTACTGAAATAATAATAATAATAATAATGGAACTCCCATTCTCTATCATCAGTGAGGAAATTCACTCCGAATGCATATTGGGCCTTGAGTCATTAGCTAATGGTCCACAGTACTTGTATATAATTTCTGTATCTATAAATATGTATATATTGGTAGCAGCACAATTTACAACAGCCAAGAGATGGAAGCAAACTAGGTGCCCATCAGTAAATGAATGAATCCAAAAACTATGGTACATTTACACAGTGGAAATCTATGCAGCAGAAAGAAAGGAGCTCCTACCCTTTGCAACAGCTTGGATGAAACTGGAAAGCATTATGATGAGTGAAATAAGCCAGGTGGTGAAAGACAAATACCAAATGATCTCACCTTTAATAGGAACCTAAACAACAAAACAAACAAGCAAGCAAAATATAACCAAAGACACTGAAATAGAGAACAGGTTGACAGTTACCAGAGGGGAGAGGGGAGGGAATTCCAGGGGGAAAGGGGAAGGATTTGCAGGAGCTAGTATAAAAAACACATGGACAAAAACTAAGGGGGGTGGAAATGGGAGGGAGGTGGGGAAGATGGGGGGGAGTAGGCTGGGATGGGAGTAAAAAACAGAAAACTGTGTTTGAACAACAATTAAATAAATAAAATTAAAAAATATGTATATATTGGGGGTGCCTAAAGCATTTTTTTGGAGAAGAGTGTGCAATCAAAAAGTGTGATCCAGCTAGACACTAGGGGATGCTAGTCCCTGTTTGGGTTTTGGGGCCTGATCAAATTTACTTCAGATTTAGGGAACAAGAAAACTAGGTGGGATCGTGCCACCCAATAAACTTTTCTGAGGCCCCCTAAATGTTTGAAAATTAATGAGAAGAAATAAAAAAGTCTTAAAAGGTTGTCCCTGACTCTAACTCCCCAAGATGTGTGCCTATTTAAACCAAGCCAGTCCAGTCTCCTGTTTTTCATTCTCTCACCTCAGTTTTTCTGTCTTTTTGTCTCCCCATTCTCCTCTCTCTCACACGCCATATGTGCAAGCACTTAGTTGGCAATAACAGAAACCAGAGAGGAGGTCGTCAGTGCACAGAAAGAGCTTGCTGGCTCTTGAATGTCCGACAGACTTGGATTCACTGCCTACTTCCACTCATCACAGATGCGAAGACCTCAGGAAGCCATATCCATTCTCAGAGCTCAGAATCCTCTGGAAAAGTGGGCATGACTGCAACCCAACAATAAAAAGATAACCCAATTTTAAAAGAGTCAAAGGATTTTAAGACATTTTTTTGAATAAGATAGACAAATGCTCAGTAGCGCATTGAAAGATGCTTGACATCATTAGTCACTAGGGAAATGCAAATCAAAAACACAATAAGAAACCACTTCACACCTAGTAGGATGGGTGATATAAGAAATACAAGTGTTGCGATGATGTGGAAATTTGGGGCCTTTGTACATGGTTGGTGGGATTGTAAAATATAGTACAGAGGCTTTGGGGGGAAATGTGACAGTTTCTCAAAATGTTAAACATAGATTGATCATATCACCAAGCAGCTCCGCTCCTAGATGTATAACCAAGAGAATTAAAAACTTATGTTCACACAAAGACTTGTACGTGAATGTTCACGGAAGCATTATTCTTGAGAGCCAGGAGGTGGAAACAACCCAAATGTCCATCACCCGATGAGCGAATAAACAGAATGGGATATAATTATACAATACGATATTATTCAGCTATAAAGAGGAAGAAGTGCTGACACGTTACAACATGTATAAACCTTGAAGAAATTATGCTTAGTCAGAAAGAACCATCTATGCTATGATTCCATTTATAAGAAACGTCTAGAAAAAGCACATCCACAGAGACACAGAGCAGATTAGTGCTTGCCAGTGGGAAGGGGAAATGAGGAGTGACTGCCAAACTGTATGGGGTTATTTGGGGGGTAAGGTGGTGCTGGGACTGGGGTGGGGGGCTTCCCTCTAGGCCATGCTACCTGGGTGAGCCTCTGACAGGCAGTGGGGCCCCCTTTCCCTGGGGCCAGGTCTCCTTGTTCAGCATTTTTGCCTCAAAGGTGCCTTTGAGGCTGAGTAGGTGAGACAACTGGCCTCGTCCTTCCACATCTAACAGGGCTGGCCCAGGGCCCAGGGTGGCTTCCAAGGGGAGAACAGGAGGGTGGCTGCCTCTACTTGCTGGGAGATTTGAGGGGACACATCCTCACCCTCCAAAGGTGTTTGGTCCCACAGGGCAGAGTGGGAGAAGCCTTTAGATATCTACTCAGACTTTTCATTTCAAAAACGGGGGAAATGAGGCTCAGAGAGGCCAGGGGGGTTTTCAAAGGTCAGGTCCCGTTGTAAATTAGTGACAGAATCAGGAGTTGGGGACCTACTCTGCCTGCCTGAAGCCTCAAATCAACCGGGGGTGGGGGTGAATATTTGTCTCCCTCCCCTGATTTTCTAAGTGATGGACTCTGAGGTGCTCACCCAGATGGGAAGACACTGAGCTGGAATTCAAATCCAGGTCCATCTAGGAACCACAAAACATCAGGCTGTTGAAGGACCAACTAAGGTTTAACCCTTCACCCTGCCCCACGTCCCATTACCTGTGGTCCAGAGGCTTCTCAGGTACAAGGCGAGCTGTGTGTAGACTGTGCTGATGCCAGGCTGGGCAGGGGAAGAGGATGGCAGGAGAAGCCTCACCACACCCCTGTGACGGGGAGAGGGCGGGGCGTGATGTGTCCCTGGGATCACCCTGAGTGGCATTCCTTCCTGCCAGCGCTATGGGCCCCAGGCTTTCCTGTCTGACTCGACTCTTCCCTGTGAAACCCCAGGAGCAGCCAATGGGGCAACCATACCCCCAAGAACCACCCCCTGGGCCATGGCCATGCCATCTGTCTCCAGGGGGGAAGTGATGTGGGGGGCAGTTGCATCACCCTCGGCTGTGCTACGCTCAGAGCAGGGAGGAGTTGGGGCATCTCCCAAGCTCCTCCTCCACCTGAATTGTGAGGCTGACTCAGGGCCCAGCCATGTGGGCTAACCTGACGCTACTGGGAAGGATGAGGTTGGGCAGACAGCAGCTGGGGTAGGCGGGCTCAAGGGGCTAGGGACTCCTGTGAGCAGACTGGCAGTGCCCTCTCCCGGTGAAGAAATTGGTGCAGATGGGAAAATGCAAGTCCTGAGGGGCAGGTGGGAACCAAGCTCTCACTGCTAAGGCCAGAGTGACCCCAGCTCAGCCTGCCTCTGCCTCTTGCTTATCAAACACTCTGAAAGCAGGACAATAAACAAGTCTACACTGCCCCAGTGAGCACCAAAGCCAGAGGGGGAAAGGCCACGCCAGACCCCATAAGAGCAAGGCCCCAGGATGTGTGGGTTCCCACAAGGGCTTCCTGGAAGAGAAGTCATCAATTCTAAGCTCAGGCCAAAATCTTGGAGTCATCCTTTTCTCTTTGTTCTCTCATACTCTGTGTCTAACCTATGTGAAAAGTGTTGGGCCCTGGCTGGTGTGAATTAGTTGACTGCCGGCCTGCAAACCAAGGAGTTGCAGGTTCAATTCCCGGTCAGGGCACACGCCTGGGTTGCAGGCCAGGTTGAGAGGCAAAACACATCGATGTTTCTCTCCCTCTCTTTCTCCCTCCCTTCCCTTTTCTCTAAAAATAAAAACATAAATAAAATCTTAAACAAACAAAAAAACGTAGTTGGACTCACTGTTGACATATCCTGAATTTGGTCCCTTTTCTACACGGTAACCACCCTGGTCCAGACCATACAATTGCTGGTCTTTCTGCTCCTGCTCTTAGCCCACTATCTGTTGTCCTCATGGCAACCAAAAGAATCCAGTTAAAACCCATCTCAGCTCACGTCGTACCTCCTCCACTCAGCACCCTCCCATGGCTCCCAGCTCATTCAGGATAAAACTCAAGTTCTTATACAGCCCTACGCGATCTACCACCAACCTCTTGCTCTCTCTGACTTTAATTCCTATGACTTCCTCTCTCACTCTGCCCCAGCCACACTGGAATGTGCCCTGAATACTCCATTTAGGCTCCCTCCTCAGGGCCTTTGGCCTGGTTGTTCCCTCTGCTTAGCATGCTTTCCCCAGACAGCGACCTGGCTCCTTTCCTCATTTCTTCAGGTCTCATCTCAAAGGTCACCTTCTCCAAGCTGCCTTCCCTGGCCACCCCGAATGAAGTAGTGACCTACAGCACCACCTTTCCCTCTCAGCCTGCCTTGTTCACCATCTGAGGTACCACATATTTTCTTGTGATACGTATTCCTTGTTATGTATTTGTTTGCTTCAGGATCCAGGACAGTGTCTGACACATAGCAGGTGTTCCATTAATTTCGTTGACTAAATAAATGACCTGAAAGAGTAGCCCAAGAAGCATTCCAAAGGCATTTTAGGCAGCGGAAACCACATGCACAAGCATAAAGGCTGAGAGGTGAGGGGCACTGCTCATTTCATGAAGGTGGCATCCACCGTGGAGAAGGAAGCCCCTGCCCTCACCAAAGCTGAAGCCAAGCAAAGGTTTTGAAGGCAAAGAAAGCAATGCTGAAAGGCATCTACAGCTACACACACAAAAATAAGATACACAACTCACCCACATTCCAGTGACTGAAGACACCATGGCTCCAAAGGCAGCCCTAAATATCCTCAGAAGAGCACACCCAGGAGTAGCAAGCTTGACCACTATGCCATCACCAAGTTCCCCCTGACCACCGAGTCAGCCATGAAGAAGACAGAAGACAACAATACACCTGTGTTCATTGTGGATGTCAAGGCCAGCAAGCACCAGATTAAACAGGCTCTGAAGAAGCTCTATGATATTGATATGGCCAAGGTCAACATCCTGATCAGATGTGATGGAGAGAAGAAGGCGTATGTTTGACTGACTCCTGAATATGATGTTTTGGATGTTGCCAAAAAAATTGGGATCATCTAAACTGAGTCCAGCTGGCTAATTCTAAATATAAAAAGTTACAGTGTAAACAAAAAAAATGGCACCACTGTGTTGAGAACCTGCAAACAATTCAGTACAGTGGGAGGGTAGGGGCCTGGGGAGCTGAAGGAAGGGAGAGGGAAAGTGAGAAGGACGCAGCCTCAGAAGCCAGGCTGAGAAGGCTGGACATTGCCCTTAGAGTGATGGGGAGCCACATGGGAGAGACACGTTCAAATTAAGTTTTAGATAACAATTTGGCTGCCATATTGAGGATTGGTGGGGAAACTGTGAGCAGGCATCTGGTGAGCACAAGCCATTGCAGGGGAGATAAGACAGGGTCAAGGTCATTGCGTTGTCCATAACAGTAGCCACCAGCCACATGTGGTTATAGAGCCTTTGAAATGTGACTGGTCAGAATTGAGATGTGCTGTAAGTTTCAAACACACACTGGACTTCCAAAATGTGGTATGAATATAAAACATATACGATAGCTTATTAAGAATGCTTGTATTGATTATCTGTTAAAAAGATAATATTTTGGATATATTGATAAATAAAGTATATTATTAACATTAGTTTTACTTCTTTCTTTTTGTTATTTTTATTTTTAAAGGTTTTATTTATTTATTTTTTGAGTGAGAGAAAGGGAGAGAAAAAGAGAAGGAGAGAAATATCAGTAGGCTGTCTCTCCATGCCCCCAACAGGGGCCCTGGCCTGCAGCCCAAGCATGAGTCCTGACCTGTTGGGAAACGCCCTGGCTGGTTTTAGTATCTGTAACCCACCATGGCTAAGGCTGAGTAAGAGACCTTGGGACAATAAGCCACTAAGGAGACAAAGTTTATCTCCCTGCTAGGGGCGCCAGCCCCCACTCCATTTTACTTCACCCTGCTTGGCCAGGGGAAGATGACTGGTTAGCTAATGATGGGTAAGATTCCTCAAGGGAGGGATGACCTAAGACAGGCACGGTCACGTAGTGGCCCTCAGGGAAGGACTTGGGGGGCTATATAAAAAGGGGGTGATGGACCCTCACCGCTCAGCTTTGACATAGCCTGAGTCCTCATTCCATTTGTAAGAGGTCTCCTAATCTCTTGGCTGCCTTACTTCCCCCACTTGACTTAAGCCTGAATCAATGCCCAAGGGCAGTGCATACCTGTACAGGAACAGGCGGTTCCCTGGGATGATCAGGCCTAAGAAAGAATGAATAAAATCCTGTGAAACATGCTTTGCTACGAGTGCCTTCAATTTTCTGATAAGGGTCCAAACATGAAATGAATTTATTGCCCAAAGTTTTATAGCCCTTTAGCTAACTAACCCTGACTCAGAATAAATCCTCATAGTTCTTTTAATGTTATCTATTGTTTGATCATTGCTGCCTGACAATGATTGATGAGCTTTACCTGTATTCCTGTGCAAAATGAACCTAATAAAAGCCCATTTAGGAACAGGCTCCTGGCCCTTCTTATCTGAGAGACTGGCCACCTCTCCTCCCCAGGCAGATCATGTCTTGGTAGACTTACTCTCATCCATGACGGAAAGGGGCACTCTGTGGTTGCAGCACCCTCACACTGACCAGGAATCAAACTGGCGACCTTTTGGTTTACAGGCAATGCTTAATCCCCTGAGCCACACCAGTCAGGGCCCTTTTGCTATTTTTAACGTAGTTACTGGAAAATTAAATTTTTATCATAGGTACGTAGAGCTCACAGTATTTTTATTTTGGACAGCACTGATTTAGAGGTTAGAATGGACAGGACTTGGTGGTCAATGGACTGTGGGGGGTGAGGGAGACCCTTGTTCTAATGGTAAGTCTCTACTCCCCTCTGATCGCTCCGTTGTGATGACAGCGTGGTCTAGAGGCAGAAAGAATGGGCTACGTGGGAGAGCCGATGGAGTTAGTTTTCATCTCAGCATAAGCTCACACAAACAATTCATATCTTCAAAGTAAGAACTATTTAGAAATAGGTTGACAGAATAGGCAACAAAATCTCTGTCCTGGCGGTACATAAGAAGAAACTCGAAGACCACCATTAAGCAGGAAAAAGGAAGCTGAATTAATTAGTCACCATATTTTTCGGACTATAAGACACACCTTCCCCCCCTCAAATTTGGGAGGAAAGGGGGTGTGTCTTACAGTCCGAATGTAGCTTACCTGGCTCGCTGTGGGGGCGGGGGGGGTGCTATGTTATTTATGTTATTAAATATTTTACCATGTTTTTTGCTTCAAATTTTTTCCCTATTTTCCTCCTCTAAAACCTAGGTGCGTCTTACAGTCTGAAAAATTTGGGATTCTCAAAATGTGGTCCTTGGACCAGCAGCAACAGCAGTACCTTTTAGAAATGCAAATTCTCAGGTCCCATCTCGGTCCTCCTGAATCACAAACTCTGGAGGTGGGACCAACAATTTATAGTTTAACAAGACCCCAAGGTGATTCTGATGTCTGCTCAGGCTTAAGAATCACTGGACTAAATAATACTTCCTATCATATGATGGTTTCAATGACTGGCTGGCAGTACGTGTCCAAAAAAATCAGTCACTGCCATGTGGCCTGCTATTGGCCTGCTAGTCCCAGGTTAGGGTACTTCCCCTCCCTGAGCAGACGCAGTTTATCTCCTGCAACACATGGTTGTATGAGAACTTGGCACAGGATGGAGGCACAACCACAGGGCACGTCCTATCTCTGCTGCAGGCAGATCTCCAGGGCCATGAAGAGCTGCCAGAGGTGTAAGGGAGGCCTAGCTCAGCTCCATTACGAGGTAACCTCACTGCTGTG